GGTATGAGATGAGTGAGAGATGAGGTTGAAGGTATGAGCTTCCATCCCACCACCACACCAAGCTCTCAATGAGCTAGAGGTACAGCACCCCTAGGCACCCAGGTTCGATGGAGCTTGCGCCACGAATTACAGGAGAGCAGCCTCAATTCACCGCTGGGGCCGGCTAATCACCGGCTCCATGGAACTGCGTCATTTCCCCGGGGCAAAGGGCAGGCAGGTAATAGAACCCCACCAAAAACATGCAGTGCGCCGATAAGACAAAGCCCAAGACCCCCCAGCTCGCCATTCGACACTGGGCGCCTAGGACAGGTGACGGACTGCGGACGGCCATGCGCTCGCTGCGACCCGCGAAGGAGCTGTTCATGTCTGGAATGCAAAACGCATGCGCCATTCCGTCTACATGAACCGGCCAAGAAAGGCACCTCTCGTACAAAACTGTTCCCGTCATTGTTCTTAGATCCAGCTTCTGCATCAAAATCCAGGGAGCTACGCAATTAAATGTAACCCCGACGCAGCACACCACCCCAGCTGTCCCCTCCTCCCCCACCAACAACGCCCATCATGGCCGACTGGCGCTCCGAGTACCTTGCCTCCATCCGGGAGCAAGAGAAGAATAATCCTGTAAATCTCGAAATCGTACAGCTCTGTAAGGCTCAAGCCTCTCCCAAATCTCTCAAGGCCGGCAAACTAAACCTCCCATCCCCAACCAGGCTCCCAGCTCTCCGACCACGTAGCAGCCCTCGAAGCCGAAAACCAAGTTCTCAAATCCAAAACCGCGCCCGAAAAGAAGAGCAAAACCACAACCTCCTCCTCCTCCGAGAAATCAAACAACATACCGCCCTCTTCGACAACAGAAACGACAAGCCCCTCCTCCGACCCGACCATCGCGCAGCTCCAGCTCCAACTCGCCGAAGCCCTCCGGTCAAACGGCACCCTCAAAGACCGAGCAAAGCAAGCCGAAGACGAAGCCCAGACGCTACGAACCAAACACAAAGACGACGCGAGAAAGGTCCGCATCCTGACGGCGGAAAATGCGGCTCTGACGACGAAGCTACGGGATCGGGAACACGAGCTGCGGGAGAAGCGCAAGCTGGTCGAGGTAAACAAAAACCTGCACTATACTGAGAAGAAACTTGGCAAAAGGTTCCTCTGGGATGGGAGGGGAGGAGAGGAGAAAATGCTGACTCGCGCGTGTGTTCGCAGAACGTTCAAGACGAGATGATCACGATGAACCTGCAAGTGTCTATGGCCGAGCAGGAACGGGACAAGGTCAAAACGGAAAACAAGGAGCTCGTCGACAGATGGATGAAGAGGATGGCGCAGGAGGCCGATGCCATGAATCTCGCAAACGAGCGCTGATGATGCGGTCTATTTCGTGTATAACCTCCCCTCACCCACGCCACACTCCTCTCTCTCTCTCTCCCTCTCTCTCTCTCTCGCTGGCTGTCTGCCCGGCTGACATGCTCTATGGGGAGTTGTAAGAATTTCTACAGGTAAATGAACTCAACGCTATTTCCTCTCCTATGCCAGTATTCCTGTCTTTTTTTTTTTTCTTCTTCCATTTTTCTTTCTTGTTTGGTAATTCCATGCTCAATGTACAACACACATTGCAGCCATGCGTTCTAGCGAGTGCTGCTTGCATCCTGAGCGCAAGTCCCGTAGGACATCATGCGGCGTAACAATAGATGCTGACGGAACGAATAGCCGCCTACTTCCTCGTCGATATGCAATAGTTGCCGCCAGCGTTGGTCCAGCTGACATAGTTACCACCAGGGTCACCTTCAGGGTAGGTCAGGTGCTCGACCTCCAAGATGTTGCTCGCAATGTCGTTAGCGTTGCGCGTCCCCTGGTCGTTGACGAACGACTTGAGCGACACAATTTTGCAGCCTGACTTGAGATCGAGGAACATGTTGACCAGCTCGGCGTTGAGCTGTGGGGTGAAGGCTTGGTTGTTGACGAGGACGACGTCGGCGCGCTTCATGGCTTCGTGGATACGGGTGCACTTTGTGAAGTCGCCTCGCTCGAGGTTGACTCGGCCGGGCAGCAGGCCCCACATCTTGCAGCGGGCGCCAAACTCCTTCTCCTGCGCTTCCGCAAAGTCGCACGGGTTCTCCATCATTTCGCAGCCCCAGCTCTCGCAGCCGATCTCGAGCGCGGCCTGGAACACCACATTGCCCACGCCGGAGCCGAGATCGACAAAGACTTGGTCTGACGTCATCCGGGTCTTTTCCTGTAAGATATCGGAGATGAGTCGATAAGCTAGTTCGCCATAGACATTGTCGGTGCCGTTTTTATACTGTTTCAACTTTTCCACGTCTGGTGATACTGTACGGTCGTACACCTGGGTGAGGATGAACTCGACCAAACCCCTGGGCAGCCCGTGTATCTTATCCAGATTCTTGCGTATTGTGCCGTCCGCCGCAAGAGTGCGAATTCTCTTATTCGCATCGTTGAGCGCCGACACGAAACCGTGGAAGTCGTTTGTGTTTGATGCTTTCCTGAGCCGCCGTAGAAAGCCGTTTTGCTGCTCTGTGAACTCTTCAGCCTGCTCTTCGGTGAGGTATACGTTGGCGACGAATCCGACCACCGTCTTGATATCCTCGATTGCGTTGATGATGCCCTTGTCGTTAATAAGCTCGTACCTAGTGAGGGGTCAGTGATACCGTCCAACAGTTGCAATGTGATATTGAAACATACTCTTCCGCACCGTAATTGCTCGGGTATTGCAGTCGCACTCTGACGTTGTCGTCTGCTGTTGCACCAAGCGAGCGCGTGGCCTTGGGACACTTCTTGAGGTTGGAAATTTGCGCGGCGTGAATCAGCCGGCTGAGGGGCTTCGCATTGTCCTTGAATGCGCTCGACCGAGTCAACACGCGCTGGGTATCTACAAACTGTCCATCCTGCGTGCGCTGCCGCTTGCTAGGCTCGTGCTTGAGGAACTCTTCGTAGTTGTCGTCGCCGTCAGAGTCGTTATCGAATTTGGGCTGCGACGGCCCCGCGCTGCCGACCTTGCGCTTGCGCTCGCCGCCGCTGCGCTTCTCGTCCGAGGAGGAGGAGGGGTAGGGCGAGGCGCTCTGCTTGCGGGAGAGGAGGGATTTGGCGTTGGGCTTTGGCGATGCGCGCGGGGAGGCTTTGGCGGAGGATGTGGAGGATGTCGCGTGGGCGAGCCTTGGGCGCGGCTTCGGGGCGGCGACTTGAACTTTTTCGACGCGGATTGCTGCCGGCTTGGTGTTGAACTTGTTCTTCCCGCCGAGGATCGGCATGATGGGCGACCGGCGGCGACCGTGGAAGGTCGGGGTTGGGTGGAAGGAGTAGGACGAAGCGGTAGGCGCTGGGCGCGTGACTCGTCGAGCGTTGAGGTTCTCTATAGCTTCGGTGGGCTTCCGCGGGTCAGGGCGGGGCGGGTTCCCCGTAGGCGTGAATGAATGGGATTATTGATAGAAAATCAATATGGGTATAGCGAGTGGTGGAAGAATGAGTGTGTCGTCAGCAGGACTTTTCGGTTCGTGACATGGGTTGTCTCAGTTGCACGACGGGAAGACGTGGTCGTCGGAGGGAGGGGTGGAGGGTCGGGAGAACGGAGGGAGAAGAAATGAGGTTTGGAGTGAGACGAGACGGGACACGAGGCGATTTTTCGGAAGAGGACGTGGAAATGGGGCCGGGACGTGACTGGGAAAAAAATGGAGTGGGCCTTTCCTTCCTGCCTGACCCAGGACCCCGAAAGTTGAAATTCCCCGGCCCAAGGGGGGCGGAATGAACGGGCAGGAAACAACTTCAGCACCCGGACAGCCCACCGAGGATTTGTGATGACTAAGGCGTGAGAAGCACCACAGTGGCAGTCACCCAGTTCACTGGGAAGTGCCCAGACGGCAAGTCAAGTCCCAAAGTCAGGCTAGCAGGTGAGGCAGGTGCAGGCGAACTACCTTACCTACATTGTTCAACTTGGTGTTCCCATCCCCTCGTGTACCTACCTATTGAACCCCCTTTCTGGGCACCCCGACTCATATCTTATCTTGGCTCGGGCGGCACAGCGCATCCAGTTCGCCTCGATGCAGCCTCGAAGCATCCTGTCGCAGAAGGGAACGAGAGGTGCAGCAAAACTCCCCAGAACGCGCAGGTGCTCCAGTTCGCCCTGCACCTTCCTCCGCGCCGAACAGCTGGTTCCGTTTGGTAAGGTAGACACCTACCTTACCATCCCACTTCTCAAGGATCCACTGCGGATGCCGCGTCAGCCGACCTCGACGTGCAGGACCTCTCGAACTAGACGAGTCTGATTGGCTGCTTGTCGGGGGAACACTTCCCGGGGCGCTACGCAGTAGGCACTAGGTACTTCCCTAAAGCCCCAAAGCTTTCAATGTTTCCAGCAGGTCACAGCGTGGCTGTCATCCAGTGTCACATTTTCTCCAGGTTCTTTGCTGTCATCTTCCGTTTTGGGGAAGCCGTTGGGTGCATCGCCAAAGTCTCATGTTTAAGCTTGTCTCAAAGTGACATCCAACAAGCAAGGAGCGTGCGTGAGCATCATTGACGTCATCAGTCACTGAGCATTGAGCCACCCGCCCTCGTTTATCACTACCTTACTCAGGCATAGCAATATATATGACATTGCTACCACAGATATGTATGTTTGCCGGTATGAACAATACAATGCATGATGGGTATACAGAACTAATGCAAAAAAAAAAAAAAAAAAAAAAAAAAAAAAAAAAGGCACGAGTCCTGGTCGCTGTTTGAGAGAGAACAATAGTACACGGCTATGCCAGAAACAGATTCGAGCGCCTTTCCTCTTCATCAGGCTTCAAACTGCGTGTCCAAAAGAATGAGGTGATGTACCTAAAGTCAGGTATGTATACAAGAGGATTCCTGGAACTTTGTAATGTGAACAGTGAAATGAATGAAGATAAATCATAGACCTGTGATCCTGACAGGAGAAACATGTGGCGGAAACCCTGACATGAACAGAAAACAGTACAGACAGTCCTTCAGACGCCATCAAAAACGGGCTATTCAACCTCCATCAACTTCCAATGCCAAACAACATACCGCGGATGAAAGTGAGGAAACTCAACAGCCTCCCCCCACGTATGCTCCGTCTCAAACTTTACCTCGCGATGCTCCTCGCACCGGAAAGCAGCATCAAACACACCCACATCCGACGGGTCCTGCGGGTGATTGGGGAGAGACGTATCGTCCGCATGCATCAACTCCACGACGACGCTCGCCCGCGCCATCAGCCTGTCAAACACATCCTTGACGTGCGAAAAGGCAAAGTGCGTCGTCGGCTTGCCCCAGAGGACCCTGAACCAGAGTGAGTGCCGCCCGTGGTGCCCGGCCGCGTGCTGGACGATGTCGTAGAGCTCTCCCATCCGCACGCCGTTGCATGGTGCTTGTGGTTCCGCAGCATTCGAGAGGGAAGCTGAGGGGAGCGCCGGCTGCTGGATCAGAGAACTCGCGACCTTTTGCTCTTCCAGCGCGAGACTGCAGACGTCGAAGCGCATGTATCCCAACGACGGCGGCGGCGGCTGCGAGACGAGCATGCGGCGCCAACTTGCGCCGCGGCGCGTGAATCGCTTCCTGGCCTCATCTTGATATCGTGCTGCTTCTTCGTCGAGCTCGGCCGGCTTGACCTGGCTCCAGCCGCCCCAGTACTCTTGGACCGTCTGGATTGGTTCCGGTGTTTTGGACCAGGGGAGCTCGTAAAAGGAGTTGGCCCGGCGCTGACACGAGTACGTCGGTCCAAAGTCGAAGAAGCATTTGTCAAATTTCTCTGCTAGGAGGGGGTTGATTAGGCGGTCACCAGTCGTGTGGGATGGCATGGCGCCTTGCTCCGGTATGCTCGGGAACACACCGTCCTCGAGGCCGTGGATCACTGCCCGTGAAATATCCACAGAGACTGGCTTGAAGAATAATGCCTGCTGGACGGCCGGTGATCCGTCCATAAAGGCCTTCCACGTCCTGCTCACTCGCGACGCTGAGACCAGGAGCGTTCTCATGTCGACTTGCACTAATATGGACTCAAGGAGCTCCGGGATCGCGAGGACCGTCTCCACGGCGCGGAGGGACGGCTGGGTTTCCGACATGGTGTCTTCCCTTTTCTTCTTTTCTCTTCTTCACAAAAAACTCGGGATGAACTGGTGAAGAAATGCACGCTAGACGAGTATGAAGAAGATGAGGAGAATATCCGCGCTTGGCTAACTGGCCGGCCCGCGCGGGGTTGTCGCTCTCGAGCCTCCCCTCGTCGCCGCGGGTAAGAAGAACCGTGTAAATCAATCGGAGATGATGACTAAGCCCTGTCGACTACATTATGATGATGCATGTGATCCCATATTGGAGAACATTAGTCTTGGGACTAACCCATCTCACCAAGCTAGCGTACCACTCAGATGGGAGTCTTCTTTGTTGTTCTTGAGGCAATCTCGATTCCTGAACAGGAGTTGAGTAAAGATAAAGCTGAGCGCGAAAAGGCCGTGTCGTCCGCCTCACACATTTGGACAAGTACCGAGAACCGTAAACTAAAAGATGCAATGTTCCGTAAGTATTCGGCATGTTTCTGCCCATCTTCCTTGAAGCCACTCTTCATGACAGTCAGCATAACTTGCAACAACTCGTGATCGCTGAAGCGCAGATCGTTCTCGAAATCTTATTGACTAGGACTGATTGGAACGGCAGCGAAAGTGGCTGAAGCGCACTTCTCACCGTAAGAGTTACGAAAGTGACATAGGAACGCATAATTACTTCAGGGGTGAGGACTATTTGTGTCAAGTAATTCCACATTTCCTTGACAAATGAGTTGAATATCATCTATCTTGAACTTTCTCCTCCTCTCAGACTACCTTACTAGAGATGATACAGTAACCGACTTTTACAAAACTTTACCAGCTTCCATCCCAGAGCCAAGCCTCGCCAGGTCCTTCGATTCGCTCCAGCTGCTTTAACACTTGTCCTATTTAAGTTGCTAATGTATTGCGGGTAAGTTTGAAAGAAACTCAATTCTTCCAGTTCTGAGCCTCAAGATTTAAGTTTCTATCTTCGAGTTGAACGGTGTAACACGCCGTGAATATCGTAGGAATATCGAGACATACGTTTCTTCTGATACCCCCAGGCCTATCATCATGCCATACAATCCCTGTGTCATTCCCTTTGGTCCATTTTTCTCTTCCGCCCCTAGTCCGTATCTCCTTTCTGTCATGTTAGTTGAAAAAAATACGGTTTTCTTTTTTATCGGTCCATCAAGGTGCGCTGTTGACGCCCCAGAAGGGAGGCTGGATGAAATTTGTTGACCACATATCGTACTTCTCTAAGCGTTCGTGGTCCCAAAATAGGTATGCTTGCTCTCTGAGGCGTTGATATTCAACTTGCGACACACCATGAATGATGGCACAGTCTAGGATAAAGTCTAGCCCCTTTTGAGGCCCTTCGTCAGCGTCGATATCTGCCAAGTTGGGCAGATGCAATGATACATCCAGCTTGGCGTCTTGCCAAGCCTTGCTCGTATCAGGCCTTGGACTATACACCGAGAATTCCATGAACAGAGAGGAAGAGAAGATGGGTATTCCGCTCTCTAGAAACTCCCTCTTCTCAGCGGATGGCATCTTTTCGAAATTTCGAAGGAATCTCAAGCCCTTGCAATGCTACGTTGAAAGTCAGCAGAACATTAGAAGCAAGTATGAACGCAAGGCATCAAGACCGGAGGCGGCGGATCTCACCCACTTGTCTAATGAGTCGTCAGTTTTGGAGCAAGCGCTGATTAGAACTGACAACTTACTCGTGGAGATGTCGTTGGCTGACAGTCCTTTTGCAGATGCCATGAATAGATCGCTTAGATATCCGATCGCTGTTTCCATCTGCTCGACGTCCCAAGGCGCAAGAGCATCAAGGATGCGTCTTGCCGGGTACCATTTTTCCACCTCCTCAAAATGAATGGCTGGTTCTAATGGATTGTTTTCATGAGTTACATGGACATCCCTTTCTTCGAACATGTAGTCGCTTAAGAGGCCATAGTAGAGCTCCACTCGGTAAAAACACCGGCAGAAACGGAGCCATTCTTTTTTTGGACAGATCTGGATGACCCTGCGTCGACTTCGTGGATATCGTGTCGTCCAGGACGTCCGAGATGGTCGTCCAGGCGTTTTCGGCAAAATGGGTCGCAACATCTATAATGAGCTCGTGGGTTGCTTCCATAGCCACCAGTTGCGGAAGTGAGAACGTTTGAAATTTGCTTGTTGATACAACGCCACCTTCGAGCATGAAGCGGAAGACTATTGTATCTGCATCCTGGGGTGTCAAGCTGAGGGCATTGTACGTGGAATCCGATATATGAACTCTCGATGCGTATGGAAATACGATTGCATACGGTAACAGCTGCTTGGGTATCTGTTTCCGAACGATTTTCTGGGCGAGGCGCGGGCGCTGGGTGTATGCATCGTGAAATAACCGACATGACAGCAGGGGAGCTTTGAGATCTTGTACCTTGTCGAGCTGGCCCAGAATCTCCGCGTCGATTTCGCAGGGCAGTTTGGTAATCTTCATGGCAAAAGCAGTGTAGATCCGAAGATCACCTCATGCCGTACGATTGCTGAGAGAAGACGATTGACGAGGGCGGAAAACTCCAGGCGTGTGAGGGAGTGACAAATCTTGATGGTTTATCTCACTCGGCGAACGTGAAAGGGGCGAGAGAAAGCCCGATCCTTTCATTGGGAAGGAGCAGAAGAAGCAGTTAGCTAAGGTGCGAAAGTCGCCAAAAGGCACCTAGGAGGTAACATCTTGAGGTACCTAAGGTAGGTAGGGAAGGCGAGAGGTACGCTTCGTAGGTAGGTGCCCGGGAACCTACCTACCTCCCTTCTTAAGTACCTTAAGGTAGGTAGGTACTTGAAGGGTTGGCTCCCATGAGGAAAGAACTGAGAGGGCATTAAGAAGGTGAAGTTGACGGACACCATCACACGCCCGAAATCTTGGAGAGAAGGACCGGGAGGGGTTTTTCGCACCTAACTACCCATATACTTATCCAGGCCCGCGATGTATTGCGTAGTTCCTCAGCCTAATATTGAAGAAGGCCACATCAAATCGCCCTTATTGGAATGGACGGCCCGCTTGTAAGTTTGTCACCGGGTGTCGGAAACATAAAAGGGCAGCTATTCTATGCTAAGCACAAACTCAACAGCCCTCAGGGACTGATAAAACGCAAGCTTAAATGCTGAGTGACAATAGAAGAGAAAATAAAAGCAGATCCGATAATGAGCCATGAGAAATAGATATCAATCCAAGATTAAAGAAATTACAGGAATCCACACCACGCGCATGCATCCTTCCTGGAATTTGCTTGTGTCCAACACACTCGACTACCAACTAAGGTGCTATTGAGTTTTGCCCTGGCTCATCGCTGCTATTTTTCTGAAGACACGGTGAAGCGTTAGACGCAGTGAAAGAGATAGTGTCGTTGAATCCAGGGGAGCAAACGGTAGAGCCGATACCCGCATCCGCCCCGGCTCCGGGTCTCCGCGGGTATGCGGACCGACCCCAGAAAGTGGGCCCAACGGCGCATCGGGTGAGGTGTTCTGCAGGTTACGTGATCCACATCGCAATCGTGTTACTTTCCCATTCCTCCCGAGGCTCCATTTCTTTTTTCTCGCTTCGAGTCGTTGGCAACTTCCCCCTGAGCTTTAAATGCAGACCGGATGAACGACTGAAGCAAGGCATTGCGAAAGGGTAACGTTCTGACGCTTCCAAACCCAACTTTAGACCTTTTCTACTACAAGACCTGCAACGATTTTAAGCTCCGCGATTGGTTGTTACCACCCTGGGTTATCGATAGCTTCTTAGCACGAGGGAAATCTCAGTCGCGTCAAAATCACGCGCTTTTCTTATTCCACCAGCAGAGTCAACATAGCTTCCAGCAGTAGCATCGACAATCCGCGAGGAAAGGTGTTGGCACGATGAGTCACAAGCATCAGACCCTCCGCTTTGCAAGCGACGCAACCGCGGGCGATGGTATCTGGGGCTACCCAACGAGCAAGGCAAAGTAAGCAAGGCTCCAAGCTGAGTCGTCGTGATCACATGCTGACGTGGATCTATTGTCAGTTTCTGCGAAGAAGACTACGTCTTTACGCGGTACATAGCAGAGTTCATCAACTGCCTGTCCAATGCCACATATAGTGAGTGATAGCCCTGCCACACCCATCCCTGCGCTCATCATGCTGAACCTTTCAACAGTCTACCTCGCCCTGAAGTACCCCCGAGCCAATGCCAAGGCTGCGGTGCCATGGTACCGAACCCTCGACATCCAATCCATTGGTCTCCTCGCCGTCGGTATCTTCTCTGGCATCTTCCACGGCACCATGCACCAGGAGACGCAGCTTCTCGACGACCTCTCCATGCTGGTCCTCGCCGGTTCGCTCGTGCAGCCCCTGTACGCCTTCCGTCAGTCGCGCGCCGTGGGAGCCGCGATCACCACCATCCTCTGGCTCGGCATCGCCACCATGGCTGTCATTTACGTCCGCTCGGGGGACATCGCCATCCACGTCGCTACCTTTACCGGGCTGTTGACGTTTGTCTGGCCTCGCACGCTATTCATCGTCTACTGGACTGGACGCTACTCGAAAGAGCAGCAGAAAGGACTGATGAAGCAGTTTGGGAAGGCCTGTATCATTTTGATTGTGGGTTTCACGTTGTGGCATATCGACTTGGAGTACTGCGCCGAGCTGAGAGCCGCGAGGAAGAGTCTTGGATTGCCTGCCGCATGGCTGCTGGAGCTCCACGGATGGTGGCACATTTTCACCGCTCTGGGCGCGAGCTGGTACATGAGATTGATTCGGGAGCTTACCTCAGTCCAACAGGCCGACACTGTGAAGAAGGCGCAGTGACTACAAGCACATTAAGTCTCTTTCCTGACTTCCTTCGATCCCAACACCGGTCATTCGGCTCGACACACACCCGTGGGTGTAGCATTTCCCAATTGGCCTGGAAAGCTGGTAATATTGATAGACATCACATAGAACTCAGCGTTTAGAAGACAGCGTTTGGAAGCCAGGACATGAGTCTGTTGAAATCAAATAAAAGATAATTCTTCCAGCCCCAGAGTATGATCGCCAAAGGATCTGAACCGCCTAGCTCTTGCATTCCTCTCTGAAGACACACTGAAAGCCATCCGCCGCGCAACAGAAGTTGGGTGGTTTGCACACTCCCTTGTTTCCTTGCGCATCATCGCAGGCCACTTTCGAGGAGGAGTGATATGTTAGCAACGGTTTATCCAAATCCATGGTAATGAATGCATGGTCTGGCTTCGACTTACATGTAAGGGATAGAAGTCCCGCTAGAATGATGAGGGCGCGTTGTTTGAATTGCATTGTGGCTGATGGAGAAGATGGCGTAAAGACTTGCAGGAGTAGAGAATTTAGTCGTTCAAAAAGGATGGTGTACTTCGAAGGTCATGTTCTAGAAGAATGAGTCCATGGCTTTATATTATTCGAAAGGCCAGCAATACAAATACCATGCAATCAAGCCGAGTTTCTCGAAGATATCGCATCGTCGGTATCGCCGGCGTACATGGAAGAAGCCAATGTCCGACACAATGCGACTCGCCTAGATGACAGCTCGCCAAGGCGGCGGAGCTCAGTTTCAAGGCATAAGCGAAAATGAGCTGAATACTAATCAATAGCATGTTCATCCTGATCATAAGCTCTGCAAGACTCCGCGTTTCAGCCTCTAGTGATGAGGCTTGTGTACCAAGTGGCTGGGTTCGATCAGCTGGGTCCCATGGGTGTGGAGGATGTCATGCAGTAGTATCATGAAGTCTGGGGTCCCTGACTCGTTGGACCAAAGTCTGAGACAGTGACAGCCGCCTCCAGACCTCGATGGTAACTATACAATAAAGTCGTGCTGCTAATGAGCCTAAGGAAATCACCGTCTAATCTGGACATGCTCCTGGCCAAGCTCCAAGCACAAAATGGTGGGAATACTTCCGAGTATTTAATTGCAACAGATTGATTTCGAAAGCCAAGTTAAGACCGTTAACCCATTGTCGGTCCTTGGTCGGCAATAAGGTTTGACTTCGAGTGCGATGAAGGACTTGCGCGGCTGACAAAGACACTACTGTAAGTTTCATATCTTTCGGCGTATAAGTCTGATTCAGAACTATATAACTTCTCGAACGGTAGCAGAAAGTTGATCAGTGGTAAACTCTATTCTATTTCTGGATCTGACTGAGACCATGGGGACACAAGAGATACTGGCATGAGCTACATACTGGATATGTAACGAATGAGAGAGACTTGTGATGCCTACAGTTCTGTTACATCCATAGTAGTTTATTGTAGATTTGAGCAAGCTGATGAATTTGACCCGGAACGTTCTTTGTTACTCCGTATGTTGTGTACTTTGTATGAGACTGGATTGGTACGCTACTTATTGTTCGAACGATTGGGTTGGATCTTACTTTGATGCAGTGACCAATCTCTTGCAGTAAAGGCAAGAATTAGATTGTCTTTCACAGAGAACTGTGCATACATTTTTCACCATAATGCAAACTTTGCACCATGTAGTTTTCTCGCAGTATCTGTGTGAATTGTGGCCAAAAGCGTTTGGTCTACCGATCCACCAATGGCCTCTGTCCTAAAACTCCAGGGTTCCTCGTGAGAGACTAGTCTATCCGATCCACAAACTCCAATTCTCGAAAAAGTATCCCCCAGCCCCAGTGTTGAAAGAATTCTTGTACCATGGCATGTTTAGTTGAAGCCTCAGCAACTGCGATACTCGTCACGGCTCATCTGACTTCACTCAGGTGTCACGGGTGCCCCAGGCCTCGGTGCTCAGGGTCAACCAAGCGTAGACGTCGAGGATGGGGTGAGCGTTGTCGAGAAGGAAGCAGGCCCACATCTGACGGGAAGTGAAGGGGAAGCGACGCGCAAAAGCGTTGTAGGTGCGGAACCAACCCCAGATGTAGTAGCCTGCAACCAAGTAGCTATAAGATAGAAGGTCAGTCATAGTCTGTCAGAATAGGTCAGAGGGAGAAGGGCTTACGCAATGGGAGACTGCTTGGCAAGGCACATCATGAAGGCAATGATGTGGACCCAGGCAATGACAGGGCGAAGAAGACGCTCGATCATCTTGCGAGCCATGTAAGAGTGCTTCCTGTTTGATTGTTAGCTTCTTGAAGCTTTATTACAAAGAGAATGTAGGAAGGGAGTCAAGGGAAGGATTACTTACTGCTTGATCTTGTGGATTCCAGGTTGGTAGATCACAGCCGTGAGGAAGGACTGGATGGCGTTACGCTGCCAACGGATCATCTGGTACAGAAAACCAGAGTCACGCATGACGAGGGTGGTTATCTCAGCCTGAGGGGCATTCTGAACCGCAATATCCCAGCCCTCGGTCTGGAGCCAGCGGGTCAGGAAGACATCGTCGCCAGTGTTCATGAGCTGGCCGTTCCATCTATCATTGGTGATGGCCTCCATGAATCGAGGGTCCTGGGCAATGTCGGTACGAACCATCATGGTGCGACCAACCATGCACCAGCAACCGCCATCGGCAGCGAAACGAACGGCCTGAACATTGTTCTGGTTATCGAGAGAGCGGAGGGAGGCAACCTCCCAGGGAGTGATGACGGCAGGGTTGCGGCGGTCAGAGTTGATGAGAGCGCTGTGAAAGTCAGGATACTGTTACATGGAGAAAGAACTTCTAAAAAGGAAAGAACGAAGGAGAAAAGGAAAACACTTCACATACCTCTGCTTGCCAGTGACGCCGCCGACCTTGGGGTCCTCAAAACCAGCCAAGAGGTAGGGCAGAGTCTCCAGAGTACCCCAGAAGGCATCGTCATCGACCAGAGCAAGAATCTTACCCTTGGCCTCCTCAATGCCGACAGCCATCTGGTAGCGCTTGCTGGCGTACTCGGCAGTCATGACGCTGATGCGGTCATCGCCCTCGATGATAACGGGCTTGACCAAGTCGTAGACACGCTGAAGGTCACGGTCAATGGTGACAATGATGATCTCCTGGGGTTTGTTGGCAAGCCAGAGACGAAGGCAGTCGGTGAAGGTATCGGGGGTATTGATGGTAGCGACAATGATGCTGACATCAGTGCTCTTGAAGCTGGGCTCCTGAGGAAGGGGAATGGGCTTGGCCTTCTGCATGAGCCTCTTGGTCAGAACCTCATCGTAGGCATACCAGGCCCTGTGAAAAAATAAGTCAGCTTGCCATTCCATTTCCAATGTGCACGAGAGAGAAAGAAAAGACTTACCACATGGCACCAAGGACGTATTCAGACATTCTGAATATTTGGGTTGTGTGTTGGTGAGTATGTGAAAGGGTTTGTGTGATGGAAGAAGAATTGCGCGGGTAGGGGCTCCTTTGTTGCAAAGGACTGAATCGACTGTTTGTGAGAGGAAGAAATTTCTGGGAGGGAAGTGAGAGGAAGGGTTTTTTCTATCGGGGGGAAGAAGGCCGTTGAAAGGCAGGTGCGTATGAATATTCACTGGATTGACAGATGAATCAGATGAGTGGGTGGTGATTCACTGCGAAGGAGCTAAAGGTGAAGTTTTGAAGGTGAAGTTCGGATTCTAGCCTCAGTTTCGGAAGGCGCCGGCTTTCACCTTTGGAAGGAGAGAGACGGCAGGCCAGGGCAAAGGTATTCTGAATGTTTCTTGTGGTGGAAAGATCTTCGAGGGCTCAGAGTTTCGAAATAATTGCTGCTATTTGGTGCGAATTTATTTCTTGGCTAGTTATGTAGGCAATGGCAAGTCGAGTGTTATTGGAGTATGTGACGCTTATATGGTGATATTGTGGTTTTGAGATCAACTGAGTACCCAACCTGGCGTTCTACTTATGGTATTTAGTCACGCCAATTCATTGTGTTCAAGACACAAGTAAAAACGGACAAGGACACAATGAACAAGACGAAACATCATTTTCGTTACTCGCCCATCTTGTCACAATGAGCTTTCAAGTCTTGTAAAGCGAAGTTTTCAACTTACAGAGCTGGTTGGCAATGTCCTTGGGCAGTGACGCGAACCTTGTTGATGATGAAAGGAGCACTCATTCGTACGCTTAAAGCTGTCTCGTTGTCCTTCCAGTACATAGACCAATATCCCTCCGCAACCTAAAAACATGAAAGCCAGGTTCTTTGCTAGGCTGTGCCCTCAATTATCCCTTCCCCAAGCGTCCCACATGCGAAAGGCCTGAGCCACAATCGCTGCTTCCTCATCCCTCACCATCTCCCTCTGACGGCGACGAACTCTCGTCCACTTCCATACAACAGCGGCTACTATAGGAATGAGAAAGACACCAAATGCCTTGAGCTCGTTTTCATTCGTCTGGCGGCGACTTTCATGGAACTCAGCCTCCTGCAGACCCAAGACTCCGCTCACCCATTTGCAAACGGTCTTCTCTCTCAATTGCTGCGGAATGGCAAACATTTCGAACTCATTCGCAGGGTAAACTGGGAGGAGTATCTGCAGGAGCTGAATGAGAACCAGAAGTTCGGTGACGGCAATGATGACGATCTCGTCGGAGATGGGGATGACGGCGTCCGAGATCTCAGCGCTGAGGCCGTAAAGTGTGATTGCGAGATCGAGGGCGAGGAGGCCAATGGCTAAGCACTCCCAGGTTCTCATAGTGTGATTGATAGTCTGGACGAGCTTGTTCATGGCGATTTCGTGTTGTTCTGAGGTGCAGATGCCGGACCACGCGTCTCGAAGAACGTCATGGAGGTGGTTTTCTATCATTTTGTTTTCTTGCTCTGCGGATGCCGTGGAAAGAGTCTCTACCACGGGAGTGGTAGCTGAAGGGCGGGTGTTTGCCTTTGATTTGGCTACTTGACGACTTTGTTGAGATATGTGCCAGGGCTTTTCGTCTGGGTGCAGGCTGCTGGATTTGCGAGAACTTGGTGAATCGAGGGAGAGATTCGAACTCACTCAGAGGCTACCACTGGTCACAGTAGTTGGAGTGAGTGTTGATGATGGGGCCGCACACACCTAAGACCAAAAGTGAAGTACATCCCCGTTCACTTCAACCGAGCACCGCGTCTGAAGAACGCGCGTGTTTGGTTCAACTATTGTGCAGATGACACGCGCTCTCGAGTCTTCACGTGATTACCTAGCCATGGATGGCAATACTCTTCAGTAGTCCAACAACCTGACGATTAAAGCCTGAGCCTGGATATCATCTTGAATATACAAAGGACGCGGGCGCGTAGTTCCAGAGGCAAAGGGTAACGAACACCGATATTCCAAAGCACGTGCTTCTGTCTTTGAACTGCACAAGTAGCCAAACAATTGAAATGAGTTCTTCCATTGCTTGGAGTCCTCCCAATATCATATTGACAAGAAAATAGGTAAATTTCCGACCTGGACTTTACTCCTCGCCCTTTCCTTCCGGCGTGTCTTGACTTCATAAAGCCATCGATTATCCTCAAGCATCTTCTGTATGGTCCAGCTGGGCTTTCTTAGTGCTGAAGTCTTCCACCTTGGTGATCTGCGCGCCCAAGCCAGTCGACACGTACTTGTCGAAGCTCCGAGTCTTAACCCGAGCCTGGAACATCTCATCGAGTTCCTCAAGCGAGCGATTCTTTGTCTCGGGAACGAAGAAAAAGACCCACAACACTGCAATGACCGATAATCCTCCGTAGATGAAGGTCACAGCACCGCCGAGCTTTGCTTGGACGTAGGGATTGACAAAGTTTATTGGCACAGATGTGACGAAGCTGCCCATGGAAGCGAGAAAGAGCGTCTTTTCTCGAAGCTGACCAGTTCCGATTTCCCCAGCGACGACCCAGCAGCCAGGCCCCCAAGTGAAACCGTAAATCTTTGGAAGGATTAGAAAATACTCTCTTGTACAGTTGTGTGTGGCACAGGAGCGAATGGATATACTCACCATATACCACAATATTAAGAGCGCCGCTGAGCTATTGGCAACCGCACTGGAATAGTTTCCTGCGGAGCCCGTTGCTGTCGCTGCTCCCGTGCCGATCATCGTACTGGCTAGTCCAACGGCTCCAAGAGACAAGGAACGTCGACGACCGACCTTGTCAAATGTTAAGAAAGTGATGATGTGGACGGCGAAGCTGCATCCAGTCACCATGAGGTTCGTTCGGAGGGGATCCGGAAAGCCGAGCTGCTGCATGAAAGTGACGATGAAGTTCTGGATGAAGGAGATGCCTTGAGCCTGTTGAAGTATTTGAACACCCATAGCGATGGCGGTCCGACGGAGGTTGGTCCCCTTCAAGCAGTCTTTGAAAGTGGTTGCTTTGTGCATTTCTCGCTGTTCCTCCACTTGAGCTTTGAGAAGTTGTACTTCTTGTGAGATGGTTTCTGGGCGGTTTGAGAGTCTCTTGAGTACTTTTTCTGCCTCTTCGTACTTCCCACGGTAAATGAGGTACCGAGGAGACTCTGGGAGGAACGGGAACATAGTCGCATATCCCACGGGGACGAATAGCTGGCAAATGATTACAATCCTGTTCAAAAGCATGTAAGCGATGCCCAGAGCCCGAAGCTGCCCGGAAAACTTACAGATACTGCCATTGATCAGTCCGACTCCGTGAAAGGTACACCGCAACGGCAGACAGGAAAACTCCCAGAGAGAGGAAGAAACTGTAGAGCGCAAGAAAAGCACCTGGGAGCTGAATCAGCATAACTAAAGACAAGCCAGGTCCTCGTTGGATCACCTCTGATCCGTGGTGGAGCGCATTCCGATAGATACATGGGGGTAACGTTGGAAGACAGCCCCATGCCAGCGTATACCAAGATCCTCCCAACAACAAGCTGCCAAAACGATGTCACCGCAGAAGACTCAAGTACCACACCAGCTCCCATAAGAGCTGAGATTACAAGAAACGACCTCTTTCGACCGAGCCTAGATGTGACAAGAGGGGCCATGATGCAGCCGAGAATGATACCGGCGGAGCCAGTGCCTGTACCGACCGATGTCTTGCCTGCTGGAATTGCGTATCGCCCGAGTTCATCGTTATAGGCACCGTAATTTCGTTGGAATTGGGATAATCCAAGAGCGCCTCCCCACCAGCCATTGTCGAAGCCGAAACCCATCGCGCCGAGGTTGGCAACACAGCCGATAAGAACGAGACGCCAGTTAAGGTCCTGGTACAAGGGATCATTTTTGAGTCTTGAAAACATGTTGTCTTGTAGATGAAGAGATCGGGCTTCTTCCTCCTCTTCTCTCGAACTTTCGTGGAGGCAAGCGCCTCCAAAGATCCTCTACTTGCCTGTAAATATACCCCGTTCAAATCTGCGTGCAAGATGCGGGGAGCCACGGGGAAGAGGTATTCTATCCCCGAGTTTCCCCAGACCGTTCTCATGCAGAACAATGTAGCAATGCTTGAGATGCTCAAAACATAAATCACAAGCGATGAGAGTTACAAGGGGAAAATCTAAGCACTTCGCTGCCGTGACCGGATGCATATCTGGCAGGGAAGTTGCAACTCGGCTGATGTTTTGCTCGTCTGTGCGGGGCAGAATCTCTCTACGGAGATCTCTCCGGTGTTTTAGACGGAGTAAGCTTATTGCGACGATCTCGAGAGATGACAGGGGTGACCAACTTACCTGCACCACTTTTCAAAAGGGGCAAAGAGTGGCTCTCGCTTCCTTCTTTGCAAGAGATCTTCAATGAGGGCCCAGTGGCCTTGATCATGCAGATGCTACCCGAGCAAAATTACGCAGCTGAGGAGCCAGCGTGGTGTTCGGACAAGGGACTGAAAGATCTCGTTTCCAACCCCAACGTCACGTTGTCAATCGCTTGTTAGACTTATTTCGGCACTGAGAGATTTGTAAATAGTATATGCACATTGACTAACTAGAGCCACCATAAAGAATAATGTACTGTCGAAAAGGAAAACACGCCAAGTCCACAGAGCACCGTCCACCACTGACAAACTTCACGCTTAGCAGATGTTGCGAGCACCGTTGCCGGAGAGGTTCCACTTGATGTTCGTGCCGCAAGGAGACTCGCGGACGGTGGTGCCGTCGACCTTGGCGGTGATGCTGATGTCGCGGGTAATGGGGAACTCGGAGCGGGCAGAGAGACGGACCTCACCGCCACCGTTGACGGTACCGCCCTTGATAGTGACGCCGTAGCAGTTCTCAATAAGGATGGCGTTGTTACCATTGTTGGCGAGGTCGATGCTGCCAATCTCGGCGCCGCCAGACTGAGAGACGCAGAAGATGCCACGACCACCGCCGCGGGAGACAACCTTTGTGACGTAGACGTTCGTGGTGTAGGCGCCGCTGGCGAGCTGGCCATTGTTGTTGGCGAAGCGGAGGGTTCCGTAGCCGGTGCCGGCACCAACGTTGTTGCCATCGACGAGGCCGACCTTTGCGTTGGTCGTCTTTTGGAGCAGCAGTCCCGACTCGCCGCAGTTCTTGGCAATAACCTGGTCAATGGTAAGACCGTCAATGTTCCATGTCTCGACCGCGTGGCTGCCGGCACCGTTGACGGTGATGACTCCCATCTTGACGTTGGTGTTGGCGGCCTGGTCGCGGTCGAAGCGGATGCCGATGCCGCCGCTGAGGTTCATGTTGATGGCACCGAGGGTGAGGTCCTTTGTGCCGTAGAAGCGGAGACCAAAGTACGGGTTTCCGGTCATGGAGAGGTAGGGGATCTTGACGCCCGAGGCGTTGGTGACCTCAATGGCGCCACGGCCGGATCGGAGAGCGACATTGATGGTTCCGCAGCCCTCAAAGGTCTTACCGCTCTGGATAGCGATGGTGTTGGCGCCAATAGAGCCAGAGGCAATGACAGAGACGCGCTGGCCGCTGCTAATGGAGTCAACGGCGGCCTGGATAGCAGCGCGGTAGTCGGAACCGGAGTAGACCTGGCTGGAGCCCTTGGTCGCCACGAAAGAGCTTCCAGAGCCAGTGACTTTTGCGTCGGGCGTGCCGGAACCGCACTGGGCGGCAGCAGAGGAGACGAGTGCCAGCACTGCCGTGAGGAAGGATGACTTGACCATGATTACGGGCTAGATACACGGGTGACTATAGAAAGGTGAAAGAAGTAGAGTATGTGGTAGCCCAAAGCTCTCCTCCTGAACGAAACTCGGCATGGCGACCTGTTTATATCTGATGGCCCCCAACGACTCAACCAGGTGGATACGGCGATGCTCCAGATGCGCGCCACTGCGGAAGATGCTCTCATGTGGCAAGCACGTTCGTTGGAGGACGAAATTGGCCCGGCCCCTAGACCGGGAACGCATCCTCCGCATTCATTTACCACAAGCTTGGAGGCGGCTCGGCATGGCTACGGAGTGGCTACGGATGAGCCCGGGGTGGCCACCGGGTGGACAGAAATTAGGAAATAGAGTCGCCAGTTCGGTTGAGAGCTACACGAATGGCACCCTAAAGAAGCAAAATGGAAGAGTGGATTGCTTGCTCTCAGAAAACAGACCTTCCCGATTCATGCTTTTGAAACTTCCGTCGCTTGGCTCACATGTTCGGTCTTGGCACAACGCTGTTTCTGCTTGGCGTCACCTGTGAGATGATCGACAGAGCTGCTTTAGGAGTCTAGGCAAACCTGAAGACAATAATTCATGGAAGTTGGATGGTAGGAGTAGTCCGCCTGAGCTAAGGACAACGTTGTTACTGATTGACTGGCTTTGACTTATTCGTTGCTGCTCTTGGAATTCGGACAATCGTGATTCCAGAGTCGATTCAATACTTGCTAGAGCCTGAAGGCAGATCTAGATGTATGACACTATATCCAACGAAATGTCAAGCCTTGGCAGTACAGCGTATATGCTGGCGCAAGGGGAAGCGTCTCATATTGACAATACTTTTTTACTTCAGGCCACAGCCACTTTGTGGTGTGAGCTTGACTGTCTCACGAACACTAGGTCCCGCACTCGATCCACTGAGCGAAAAACGTCATCTAAAGTTGTTTCTTGGGGGCTGCTTTGCAGGAGACGGGCAGACTTGTGGATATAGCACCTGAAGTTATTGGGCAGCGGAAACGGGGATTTTGAGACGGATTCTTCGGCTCGCACTTAGATGCCCCGGTAAGAAGCAATTAAACATTGTCCAGTGGCATGGTCTTCTGGGCAGATTAGTAGACTTTATTTAGTGGGCTCATGAACGATCCTCTCTCCCCCGCCTTTTGACTCAATACTTCGCTGCCTCTGCCGACACTATGCAGATTCTCGTAGAATTTTCTGTCACCTCCTGCAACTCACAATGCCAAATGTCACATTCGGAGTGCGATGATTGATAGCCATGGCGTGTGCTCAAACGCTACTCTTCCTTTTTAGGGGGAAGGCAAATGTGGAGAGAGCTGGTCCTGACAAGAAAATGTCGAATTAGTCCGTCTTGGCACGCTACATCCCCCCTCAACCGGCAGATACGAGCTCGATTCGTGACCACTGCAGGGGGCTTCAAGTACCTACTTTAGTGGCTGCTCGCCCAGTGCCAAGCGACGTTGAGATTGGGTTCAAGGTGAAGAACCAAGTCTAGCCTGAGCCTGCTCTAGTGAGAATTTCAGGCAAGCCTTTACGATCTTCCTGGGCCATCAGGTGACCATAATGATTCGGCATTCGGCCAAAACTGGACCGATCTAGGATCCGAGGGAACGAAAGAGTTTCTTGACCCTCAAGAAGCTGGCTGCTATGGAAATCCCGTTTCCACGGGAGCATAGACTATATCGTCGACTTGACATTCGTTATGTCTGAACTATGGCAAAAGAGTCTTGTTATTTAGGTAGGTGACAAAATCAAATCCATATCCATGCGCGTACTGCCTGCCAGTCCCCGTCTACCAGCCCCTGTCTCTGACTGTCGCGATGGGTATGAAAAGTAGGACTTGCAAATACCATGCTCAGGCTTTGATGTTTGACTTTCCTGGCTTGAAGTCTCCAAATTTCGCATTCATCGATCTCGTGAGGTACATCCACTTCGGTTTTTCTCACACTAATTATTCCCCATGGACATCTCCATCAACAATCATTTTCTTATGTTCGACATGCCGTTCGAAGTAGACTCCCGCCTCGATAAATTTACCCCACTCAATCTTGTTCTTTCCTGAAGTCCTTAGAGAGCACTGTGCATGTAGGCAGCTTTGGGGACCGCGTCCGAGCCAGGAGTGAACCCGCCAGGCTCGGCATATTCACACTCGCGCCGGAGGTAACTCCTTACTTGCAGAGTGCAGATCAAATGTTTGGCCGAGAGTACTGACTAACGGTGTCGACTATCCAGT